CTACTTCCGTAGTGATACTGCCTCGGAAACCCAAGGAGGGGTCGCTATGAGTCGGGGCCGACTCGACGGCACATAACAACAACAACAATTACTCTACTGCTTTCCTCTTCCCTTTTTATTTTGACTACTTGTTTAATCTAGATAGCAGTAATAGTATCAGTAGTAGTGCCATCAGAAGTTGCCTAACTTCAGGAGGAATAATGCCTAGCTAGGATCAGCCCAAAGCTGATTCCCATGAGGTGGAGATCAGACATACCTCCGTCCTCCAGCCTTTTTACCAATTCTGACACCAGCTGTCCTTCCCCATGGCACTCTCTCCTTCTCTTCTGGATTCAACAGTTCATTCCAGTGGCCACACAGAACAGTCCATACTTACAGTTAAGTGGTTTATTAAATAACAGGGTACAACTCAGGATCAGGATTAACAAGCTACAACTGAGGAATCGGGTTCAGAAATCATAGGCAAAGTCTCCCTTCTTCAGTGCAGGACAGCTCTCTTAGCTCATTTCAACCATGTAGGCCTTATCTTAGTCCCCTCAGGATGGGCTCCTCTTGGCCCTACCATACATCACCACCAGCTCTGGGACCATATCTGGCCTGATGCCATTGGCTCTGTCACTGTGCTCCTTCCTGGCACTTGCTGTCTTTGGTGTTATAGCCTTTGATCGGTGTAACAGCTCTTGTGGGAAGTTCCTTGTCTCCTTTCTTTCTCTCTGCTTCTTCTTGCTGCTTCTCTTCTTGCTTCTTTCTGTCTGACAAACTATGTGGGGTTGGCTGTGTATGTATATACAAACCCCTCATAAATTTCAAGGCCTGGCCCTCCCACCAGGACCAGAACTGACCAATCCCCTCTTGGTAGTCCACAGACACTTTATTTGCATATTAGGTGCATCTGGGTTACAATTCACCTCATTTGCGTAGTCTGTTGCCCAATCCCTATAAGGTGCATATCAATCACAGGACAGGCTGTAGCACAGGACCAGACAAGAAGTGTCAAACCAAGTTGTTTACAACTTACCCAGGAAATGTCATTCAACCTGGAAAAATGTGACAAATTCTGTGGGGTGGAAGCCAGGGGAAAAGTAACTCCTTGGGGCTTAGGTAAAGATTTGTCAAGCTGTTTTTAAAAAGCACCAAGGCAAAAGGCCATATAACTCATTTCACTACACTTAATTTTCTAGCTTTTGGCCTCCTATATAAAAGAGAATAGAGTAGAAGTAAATATGGGGGTTTGGCCCTTTGAGACTATCATAAGTGCAAAAACGGCAAGGAGGCAACATGTTCCGACCTCCTCTAACCTTACAAGAGGAAGATAGGATTACCAGCAGTAACCCAAGGCCTATTCCTACAAGGCCAGACATGCTGCCTCCCTCCAGCCCTTTCACCAACCGTTCCTCCCAAAGCACCCACCACCTCTCTCCTGGGTTCGATAATTCACTGCAGTGGCCACACAGAACTCACAGATTACAGGGTTTATTAGGGAAGCACTAGGCTACAACTCGAGTTCAGGAAGAACACTCAGTCTCTCTCCCAGCCCACCGTCCCTCAGCCAACAGTCTCTCACAGTCTCTTTCCCAGCAGTGCTGGTCCCTCGGTGTCTCACTCAGCAATGTGTGTCTCTTGCATCTCTTTCCCAGCAGCACGTGTCTCTTTCCGGGGTGTGTCTTCTTCAACCAGCAGTCAAAGAGAGAGTTCTGCCTCTAGGAGACCTCCTTTTGAGCCCGGCAGAGTGGCCAAACTAGCCAATCATAGCATCAGAACTCTTAAGTACCTAAGAGAGAGAGTGGTCACCTCCCAGAACATTGTATTGTGCCACTCCCAACAGAAATACTCCACGTGGATAACATTTACAATCAGGAGCTCCTCAGTTGCTCATTCTACCACTGAGGTTACAATGACTTATGGGTAGAAAAGCCATACAAAGTAATTTACTACACCGCAATAAGCTTATAAGCATTACTATGAATTATGTTGAAATATATTTGTTGTTCTTGTCAAGTACATAAAAGAATTAGAAGAAAATGAATTGGCTATAAGAAAAGTGGTATTTCATTTAAAAATGCCTTTTATTGTAACATTAAGAGGAAAACCAATGTCAAGCTATGCCACACTGTCTTTTATTACTTAGAATTTTAATTTTATCAAATAAATTGTCTTAATCTTATTTAAGAAGCTCTGATGGCACTGTGCCTAAGGCATTTGATAACTAACCAGAAGGTTGGTGGTTCAAACCCGCCAACTGCTCCACAGAAGGAAGATGAGGCAGCCTACTTCCATAAAGATTTACTGCTTTGGAAACCCAATAGGGGTCACTGGGAAGCAGAAATGACTTTCTGAGAGTGGGTTTGGGTTTTTAGTCTTATTTGGAAGTAAAAATAACAGTATTAATGTCTGTGACCAAATTTGTGTGTGCACGGGCACTGACAAACTGGGTTCTGGCTCCAGCCTGGCTGATGGCACTTGTAAGTTGGTACTGACTGTAAAATATATCCCAGTTTCAGAGATTTAAAAATATGAAAAAATAAATCTCAGAATCCGTAAAATTAAAAAATAAAAACTTCAGGAAATCCATGAAATAAACCAAAACCAGAAACCAAACTCATTGCCATCAAGTCTATCCAACTCATAGTGACCTCTCCTTGGGTTTCTGAGGTGGTATCACTATGGAAATAGGTTGCCCAACCTTCTTTCTGGGGAGTGGCTGGTTCAAACCACCAGCCTTTTGGTTAGCAGTCAAATGTCTTGGGCACTATGCAACCAGAGCTCCTATGAAATAAACAGCAGGACTGAAACCATGATCATGAATTGTAGCTGATTTTTTAGTAGATATTATTGGAAAATAATATTTTCTTAATTTCTGTGCAAAATCTTTGATTCTCCATGAGTTGAGGTGATATTATATCTTGAAACTATATTAGTTTTTTTTCTTTTTTTTTTTTAAATAAAAAAGAAAGATAATTTTAGTAATTTTTTCTTCTTGGTTTCTTTCAGGTGAACAATGTGAAAGAGCTAGGCGCCTTCAAGCTAAAATGATGACTAATTTGGTTATGGCCAAGGACCGTTTACAACTTCTAGGTATCAGTTACTGAATTGTATAATTGAATATGAGATGTATTTGAAACGTGCTTTTGGTAAAAAACAAAAAACACAACTTTCAGGTTTAGATGGAACTAGATCAGTGATCTGGAAATGTGATATAGACCTTTTTTAAAAAAAAAAAAACTTGTAGAAAAATTTTAGCATATACAGAAGTAGACAGAAGAATATAGTGAACTCGTAATTATACACAACTCAGCTTTAATAATGATCAACTCATACACATTCTTGTTTATCTATGCCATGGTTGGCAAACTACAGCCTGTGGACAAATCAAGTTCTCTGGCTATTTTTATAAATAAGTTTTATTGGCACACAGCCACTCCCATTCTTATGTATGGCTTATGGCTGCTTTTATACCACTGCAAAAAGGGCAAGGAGGCCACATGTTCTGACCTTCTCTAATCCCACAAGAGGAAGACAGAATCACCATCAATAGCCCAAGGCCTATTCCTGCCAGGCCAGACATGCTGCCTCCCTCCAGCCCTTTCTCCAGCTGTTCCTCCCAAAGCACCCACCACCTCTCTCCTGGGTTCGATAATTCGCTGCAGTGGCCACACAGAACTGACAGGTTATGGGATTTATTAGGGAAGCACCAGGCTACAATTCAAGTTCAGGAAAAACACTCAGTCTCTCTCCCAGCCCACCGTCCCTTAGTCAACAGTCTCTCACAGTCTCTTTCCCAGCAGTGCTGGTCCCTTGGTGTCTCACTCAGCAATGCATGTCTCTTGCATCTCTTTCCCAGCAACGCATGTCTCAGGAGCACATGTCTCTTTCAACAGCATGTCTTTCTCAACCAGCAGTCAGAGTTCTGCCTCTGGAGGCCTCCTTTTGAGCCCGGCAGAGTGGTCAAACTAGCCAATCATAACATCAGAATTCTAAATACTTGAGAGTGAGCCTCCTGTAACGTTGCCTTGTGCCATGTCCAACAGAAATAACCCAGGTGGATAACATTTACAATCAGGAGCTCCTCAGTTGCTCATTCCACCACTGAGTTTACAATGACTTATGGGTAGAAAAGCCATACTGAGTAATTTACTACTGCAACCACATTGACAAAGTTGAGTAGTTACAACAGAGACCATGCAGCCGTCAAAGCCTAAAATATTTACTTTGTTTTACCATGTATGTACTGGCCCTAAGACATTTGATTGCTAACTGGAAGGCTGGTGGTTCAAACCCACCAGCCGCTCCTTGGAGGGAAGACTGGGCAATGTACTTCCACAGAGATATGGCGTCGGAAACCCAAGGAGGGATCGCTATGAGATCTGACTCAACAGCAGTGAGTTTGGTTGGTTTTTTCTTTGCAGAAAAAGATTGCTAGCTCAGAACTATGCCCAACCCACTCCCCTACCCACTTCCTATTAATTTGAATCAAATTCCTGATGTCTTTTCATTTCATGTATAAGTATTTTATATTGTATTTGTAAATTATAAGGCTTCTTTACAAACAAAATCACCAAAATACCATCATCACACTTTAAAAATAACCAATAATTCCTTTTAATATTGAAAAAAAAAAAAGAGTATAGCTAAAACCACTGGTCTTTGTTCAGATTTCTAATTGTCTCATAGTTTAATAACTTTACTACTTTATAAATTGTTATAAGAAGATCTATGTGTTATGAACGGTAGTTATATTTCTTCTGTCTCTTTTAATCTGTTTTTCTTCTGCTTCCAATTTATATATTACTGAAACCAGGTCATTTGTCACACAGTAATTCCAACAGTCTGATTTCTGCTGTGTGTGTCAGATGGTAACTTAACATGCTCTGTTCTCCCTGTAAATTAGTAGTTGGATCTAGAGCTTTGATAGATTGAAAGTAAATACTTAATTTGTAACAGCAGAACTACTTCAAAGTGGTTGTATGTTCTGCCATCAATAAGTAGTTCTTCCATATTCTTGTGAGGTCAGCAACAGTTGATGACTGATGTCTAATGACAGTATAATTTTGTCATTCCCTCAGCATTAAATAGCTGGAATTTGTCTATAAAGAGAAACGTCTCATCTGCTGTTTGATGGTGGTGGTGGAGGTTGCTACATTTTTGTTGTTAAATTCTGTTAAATTTAAAACAAAGTGGAACAAAACTGGCCACAAGCAATAGACTTTAGTGATCCTACTAGAGTTTTGTGTGATATAGATACTTGGTAGGCAAGCAGACCTTATTTATTTGTAGCTTTGTGATTTGGGGTAAATTATTTGGTATGTCTTTATGTCATTTGTCATATGAGGCAATAGATAATATTTATCTCTTCATATTTTGGGACCATTGAATTATTGAAGAAACCTAACTCATAGAAGGCACTCAGAAAATGTTGGCTTTTGTCCATCTCCTTAACTGTAATCTTCTGCTTTTGGGAAAAATAAACACATACACATGCATGCATGTGTATGTGTTTTCTTTCTTGTACGATCATTGTGTTTGTAGGATTTTTTTCCTCCACATAGTTAATAAACAGCTCTGATTGCTTTCAAATGGCTAGTAAGGCAGTGTTCCCACTGTGGTTGCCAGGATTGTGTTTTACCGAAGTAAAGGTTGCTGTTGTTTTAAATATAATGAAATAGTATACTAAAGGCTGTTGTGGAAATAATTATGGAATTGTTCTAATTGCTGCTTTTTATGTTTTTGAGCTAAATTGCCTTTCATTATGCACACTAAGTATCAAGTAATGAGATTAACAATGTAAAACTAAGTCTGATTTTGGAAAAACACTTTGTAACATGTTTAAAATTCAATAAGAGTGGTCTTCTTATCTTTCATTTAAAGTTGTGATAAGATAAAAATTGGAATCGTGTTGTCAGTTATATACTTGTGTTTCAATAATACTGTAATTTCTTATTTGTGATATTAGAGGGCAAACAGAAGGTAAGTAATCTAACATGAAACTAGGCATAAAAGAAATTAATATTGGTGATGTTTTGAAGACAAAGCAAAAGTTGCTATCGTTATCCTCAGTGGCATGCCTGGATGGTGCAAATGGTTAAGTTAATATGCTCCGTTGCTAACTGAAAGGGTGGGAGGTTCAAGTCTACTCAGAGGAACCTCAGAAGGAAAACTTGGTGGTCCCTTTCCAAAATACCGACCATTGAAAACCCCGTGGAAGACAGTTCTACTCTCATATGCACACGGTCGCCATGAGTCAGAATTGACTCAGTGGCAACTGATTTGGTTTGGTGTTGTCTTTCTCAAAAAATGCTATGTGCCCATCTATGAAAAATAATACTTTGGCCGGGGCAGGGGGAGCATATAGGAAAGGGCGAATCAATATATTCCTGTCTTTTCCAAGACTTCAGAAAGTCTAAGAATGAATCAAAGACAATAAAAAAAGATCTGTACTACTACAGTTGAGTAGTAAAGCATATTTTATGTATTATGTGTTGGCTATAAAAAAGAGCTCTTCAAAAATGGAGTGCCAGATAGGATAGGAGATTGGGAAGCCTGATCCTGGGAGTACCCCATCTAGACTGCTTTGAGAGTATGCAACCTCCAGTAAAGATGAGAAGAGTTCATATATAAATTATTGTTTATCTTTTAATTATTAATAAACCAAACCAAACTTACTGCCATCGAGTCATTTCCAACCCATAGCAACCCCCATTGGGTTTCCAAGGTCTAAATCTTTATGGAAGTAGATTATCCTGTCTTTCTGCAGAGCAGCTAATGGCTTTGAACTGCTGGCTTACCGGTCAGCAGTCAAGTACCTTATCCACTATGCCACCAGAGAAACTTAAAATATCATGGTTCATTCTGGTAAGGTGGAGGAATAGGCAGACAAGTGACACAGACCCTCTTCAACAAAGAAAAGAAAAACCAATGGACAGGGATACAGAAGCTAATCCTGGAGCCCTGAGTTTTGAAAGGAACTAGTGGAAAAACCTGGATGAAAACAGTGAGTAGAGACTGTCGGAGCTGCAGACTGTCAGCTACTCTGACAGGACCAACAGCCTGAATATCTCCCAGTGGTGTTGGGACCTGAAAATTGACCTAAAGATCAGTCCTGGTCACCAAGGGCTGCAGTGATGACCGCGCTGGTGACCAATGACTAAGAAGGGAAATAGCAGGGAGGGAGAAAACCTGAGCTATTGACTTTCTGCTGTCCAGAAGACACAGCCATTTTGATTGTTTGCATGTGACAGCCATTTTGTATATTTAAAGTAACCGAGGGTGCAGCCATTTTGAATGTTTATAAGCAGTGGCCATTTTGGATATTTAATGTGACTGAGGGTGTAGCCATTTTGAACCTTTACAAGTGGTAGCTGTTTTGGATTTTAAAGTGTTAGCATTCTCATTCGGATTTCAGGGACCTAACAATAGGCTCTATTTGCCAAGGACAGCAGGGACTTATGAAAGACTGATAACAGGAAAGGAAACAGGTGGTGAGCGTTTAAGTGCTGTCACCTGGTGAATAGAGGAGCACAGCACAGTACGCTGCTTGCGTAGATAACATACAAAGAAAACAAAAATCATGGGCAAGTCACTCCAACATACAATCACCAATTAAATATAAACACAAAAATATCACAAGGCCTTGGAGACAACAGAGCATCACAGTCCACACAAAGAAGCAGGAGAAACAAGAGACCAGGATACAGACCCCAAAACACATCCCTGAGGAAGATGCAGCATTGGAACTCCCTGATAAGGAATTCAAAAGAATTATATTTAGGTATCTTCAAAGAATTGAGAAACAGATCAGAGAAAACCCTAGAACAATTTCAAAAGACAATTCAAGAACAAAATGACAAAATAAATAAAAAATTAGAAATGATACAAAAATCTACACACACAAATCCAGGAGATTAATACTAAATTTTCAGAAATAGATAAGACATTGAATGGGCAAAGGAGCAGAATGAATCAGTGGAAGACACAATTGGTGATATTGAAGGCAAATACCTGTACACTTCTTTGGAAAGGGATCAAGCAGAAAAAAGATCAGGACAAAATGAAGAAAGCCTAAGGTTCACGTGGGAGAC